AGAGAGAGAGAGAGAGAGAGAGAGAGAGAGAGAGAGAGAGAGAGAGGGAGGGAGAAGGAGGGAAGCGACTGGGTGAGTACCTGCCACTGCAAATGTGTTGCTCATGATGCTTCTGTTTGTCAGAGAAGCCACAACAGGTCATCATCTAGTGTTGTTTGGTATGAGCATTGTGGTAGGGACCTAGACCGTGCACACAATAATGGTGAGATCCAACAGCAAAAGTGCAGCCTCCACCGAGTACGGCAAAAGGAGAGGAAAAAATCCCGTAAACAGTGCAAAGCCCTAATGTTTGTCTGTGTATATGCGCGTGCTTTTTTTTGGTGCGTTTTTGGATCCCTCTCTTTGACTCAGATATCGGCGTTTGTACATGGTAGTGGCCTGGAGCAGCGCCATGAGCTGTAGACGGTGAAGTATTGACTACAAGTGAGATTTCTGGGCTTTGCGAGTCTGCGGGAGTCGCATGGAGCCATCGTAGGTGGGGCCTACCTTGATGCGGGAGGGGTTATTGCACCTACGGTAGTCCAGGGGTAAGCACCTCTGGCAGTCACTGTCACTGGGTCCACTGGAAGGCTAAAAATGCACATCGATCTTGGGCAGCTCCTATGGCAGCAAGGTGTGTGAGAGTTCTCCGTTGTGGATCTGAGGGTTGGCAACTTGACACATAGTCTGCGCAAGATCGTCTTCATCTTGCGCTACACATAGTCTGCGCAAGATCGTCTTCATCTTGCGCTCTTTCTGTCCTCTTGGTGCTGTCTGTCTGTGCCTTCCCAGAGCTTTCCGTTGGTGTCCAGGCCGATTCCGGTTGGCCTGCTCACCTTTCTTTGCAAGTTTGCTCCACCAGGGTTAAAACTTAAAACTCATATATGTTCAAACGAGGTGCAAGAGAGACGTGCATCTCCATCTGAGCATGGAGAGCCTCTAAAAGATGCAAGAGGAGCAAGTTTACCGGAGGATTTGCTGTAGAAGACACGTGACTTTTCTACGTCTTCTGCGTCCCGCATACGACTGAATGTCTTGCTTGCTCGTTGGGTCAGGGGATGGCAGGGCACTGAGCGGCAGGCTGAAGGGTTGAGGGGGGAGACCAAAGATGCCTTAAGAATAGCACCGTGAGGTTTGGAGACTATTTTGTGCATTCATGCATACGTGGAGTCTTCTTCCCATGCGTGTGTGTGTGTGTGTGTGTGTGTGTGTGTGTGTGTGTGTGTGAGAGAGAGAGAGAGAGAGAG